TATATATATATATATATATAGTATATATTGTTTTACATGTACTCTTTCTGTTTGTGTAGAGAATGTATACTCTGTGGACGACACGTGTGTGATCCTGCTTCTGAAAGGCCTGTGTCTGAAGAACCAAGGCCAGACGCAGACGGCAGAGGACTGTTTCAGACAGGTTTACAGCAGGCCAGTGCTTCTGCGTTAATGGATTTGCCTTCACAAATGCTTGTTCTGTCTCAGGATGGCGTTTGAGATGCTTTGTGTCGTTAACAGTGAAAAGAAGTTGAAGTTTGATCATTACCTGGTCCCTAACGCTCTGCTGGAGATGAGTCTCCTGTACATCGACACGGGGAGGAAAGAGCAAGCCATCCATCTACTTCAGAAAGCCAAGTGAGTTCAGTCTAGGACAAAATACTTGCTCGCTGTTGTCATTTCTTGGCTTCTTGTTAAAGTTGCAAACTGCATTTTGTTATGAAATGTCTCCTCATCTCTCCTGTCAGGAAAAACTACAAGGAGTACTCTATGGAGTCTCGTACGCAGTTCAGGGTCCATGCGGCCCTCACCAAACTTAAAGCTGACACCAATGACCAAGATGAAATAACAACATTGTGAGGAAAGATGATCCTGAGTCAGTGGACCAGAGCAGAGTTACATGGTCACTTCACGGGGAGAACGAAAGGCCAAAGACACAGTGTGGTTTATATGCAGTGGTACTGCCCAGTGTTAACCCGTCTCATTTTTTGGGCCGTATTATGGGAAACACTAAAAACTTCATCTGTACATTCTCCTCCAGGAGGTCAGGTGCCAAATCGATGTTTATTTTAGTCAGATAAAAAAATAGATGGATATTTGAAATGTAAACCAGGGTTTAAGCTCCTTTGTGTTAAAATGTATTAAAACGTACATTTTAGGAAGCATGAGAAATCAAGTTAATATTAAGTCCTGTACAGGTTTAATAAGGGAAAATGACTAGAAAACTGACAGTGTTTACATAGATTTAGACACCATTTTACACTTAGTTGTAATGATGATTAAACATGTTGATTATTGTAAGGCTGAGTGTGGGATTGAATACATTATTATTGATTATTATACTCCTTTCTTGAATAAATCAAGAACGTTTGTAATAATCAAATGCTTCAAATAGCATCATAAAAATTCAGCTGTCGGATGCTATGGCTATTTTTTGTTATGTAATACATTTTATTAGTAGTTAATATTTAATCAATTATTGATGTTAAAATATTTTTGAAATGTATAATGTTATAGTAAATTAAGTCATGCAATCAATGCAATTATTAGCAATAAATCGTCTGGGTTACTGTATAAATAAATCGGTTTTCCATGACAAATTACATCCATCTGCTTTTTCATGCATAAGCTTAATTGTTCTTAAAACGTTTGCTTCTTTTTTACTGAATGTAGAACGCTTAACGAGGAATTATTATATGTTATCCAATTAAGCTATTTGAATATCAGTTTTTCACTTTCTAAAGGATACAGGCATGTTGTTTCAGTGAGTGGTTTTATTTAAATCAAACAAACTGAGAGACAATCCCAATGACAAACTTACAAAGAAACCAATTTTACAATCTGGTACAGTAGCACTGTATAAAAGTCCTTGTTCTCTGAGGGTTACAGGCTGGATTCGGCTGCCGCTGTTCCCTGCTCTTCCTCCCTCTTCCTGCGTTTCAGAAGTTTTCTCTTTTTCTTCTCCTCTTTCTCTATTTCGGCGACCATCTCTTTGAACTTGGCCCAGCGCTTGGGGGTCCAGCACATAACCAAATCGCTCTCTCGCCTCGGCCAGCAGTTTGTCCCGCTTGATTTTCTCCTCTCGTTGCTTCTGTTTTGCCTCCCTTTTCTGCTTTTTCCAGTCGGAGATCATCTTGGGCATTTTGGCCATGTTTGCAGCAATGACCTTCTCTCTGTTTAGGGAAAAAAGCAAAAAGTACATTAAGGCTGTGTAAAAACCAATGGCTGTGATCAGGTAATGAATGTAGTATAATGTTATATTAGAAGGCAAAATTTAAATTTCTGTGATCATCGACTTCTCCCAAACATTGTTTTACATAAAGTTTATTGCAAAACATGCATATTCAAATACATTTGCAGTGCTTCATGGGAGTGATGCTCTTTACTCGCTGCGATTCTGATTGGTGGAGCTTTCTTTGCAGAATCATGGGCGATGTAGTTTTTCTCCAATTCAGCTGTTGAACACAGTTATTAAAAAAAAATAATGATGGCTTCAACAAAATCATATATCATCTATTAACAATCTCAGAGCTCATAGTAAGTCCGTCTTTAAAGTTTTATCATTATTGTTATGAACAATTTCCCCCTTTAAGAAAATGAATGGGATTTTTACTTCCAGAACCAACTTTTGCAGTTTTAAATGATAGGAATTTTTCATTTTTGGGTGAACTGTCCTTTTAAAGTGTTAGTTCACCCAAAAATGTAAAGTTAATGGCTATCAGCAACTGCTTGGTTACCAACATTTTTCTAAATATCTTCTTTTGGGTTCACCAAAATAAAGATACTCATACAGGTTTGGAACAACTTGAAGAGGAGTAAACAATGACAAAAAAAAATTTGGGGGGTGAACTTTCCCTTTAAGGACAAGGGAAGCGTCATATCAAATTCCAGTGTTTCCGTCTAAAAAACTAAACACAAATGCAAAATACGCCTGCCTAAATAATATAGTAAACACTGATATTATTATAAGACACAAAGATTATTATACAAATAAATAAGTAAAAAATAAGTCACGAGACACCCGCGAACCAATAAGATTAGACTTCAAACTTCAACTTGGTGATGCGCCCTAACGGTCCAATTTTGAATGTTTGAAGGATTTTTGTTCACTGAATAACGATTTCAGTTTTGCTCTGTACATGGCGGAAATCTCTCATAAATAGGTTCAGAAAACAGCCGACAAGTCATGTGGATTAATCTACCAGGAAAAGCTGGTTTGTCAACCGCCATAAAACGTTAAAAGACGATTATTTATAGGCGTCTTACTGTTTGACAGCAGAAGTCCCAAAGCACTTTTCATTGTATGGAAAACTAAAGCTGGGACACTGTACTGGGACACACAAATCAACGTTTGTAAACACGTGAGGGTAAGTAAATGATGACCATTTTAATTTGGGGGGATAACGGTTATTATTAATGAATATGTAGAGTTAGTTGTTGAACACTTGATAGCAAACACTGAACAGAGACTAACGTTAGTCAGGTTGACTTCACCTCTCCATCGCCTCTGCTCTAGGGATGGACGGATCGATCCTTAAGTATCGATACTTTCGATACTGATGTTGTATCGAAAGGATCGATCCTCACATAAAAATATCGATTCTAAAGTGCATTTTTTAAAACATTAATTTTATTTACTTATCAAGAAATTCGGTGCATAAAAAAAGCTTCTAAGTGGAAAAATAGACTATATTAGCGAATAATTGTGTTGGATAGAACCATTTCTCCTGCTCATCGGAACACACGCAAATGCTGAAAGACAGAACCAACCAATCACCGACAGCGTTTGCTGCTGACGCATGGCTCACAATGCTTGCTCAAATAGGGCTGCGTTTCCCAAAAGCATCAGAAGCATTGCCACATTGTTACATTACATTACATTGTTACTATATATAAAATTAATTCTGAAAAATGCAT